ACTTCTAACTAACTCTATTATTCTTGCAGAGGGATTTTTGCATAAGCCGGACTTGAAGAAATCTGGTGATAGGAGGTCCGCTCACAGGGACACTCCCGCCATCGTCGAGAAGACCAAGGGCTAATCATCGACCAAGGATGTTGCCTCTCGACCAGAGAAGTCTTGTGTCGGTGCTTCCTCCCATTCGAGTAAGCAACAAGCTCCTTCTCCTCCTCCCAAGCAAGTCGAGCGTCATTCCACCCACTCGACAAAAGAGAGTGACGTCTCCAAGAAACGTCCCCGAACCGAGGGGACTGGTCCCCACTCCACTAACCCTCTGCCTTCTCCCAAGCGACCGCAGCTTGACGCTGCTTCTTCGGGGAATCCTCCTCCCTCATATTCTTCTCTTTCACTTGTGTCGGCTGGCCCCCGAGAGACCGTGTCTCGGCTGATGAGCTTCTTACCATTCGACGATACAAATCGTTGGGGGGTGAATCGTCGTAATCAGGCCGAGTATGCCGTTCGTGCGGTGACGCAGGTATATTTCCTTCTTATCATTATTTTCGAGCATATTGTCTTGTGTTGTACTTAATTTTATTCTTGCTACAGACTTTGGTCTCCGTCGTGCCTCTCCTCGAGGAGACACTGAATAGCACTGGTCGCCCAATTCCTGTGCTCGAGGGCGACAATAGGCGTCTCGAGGAGGAGAATAGGAGGTTAAAGGCCGAGAACGAGGACCTGCTCAAGACCCGCCACGCCTTAGCGGAGCAGATAAAAAAGGATGAGCAGCGGTATAAGGATGCGCTGCAAGGCAAAGATAAGGCTCTCGAGGTAGAGCGGGCTGGTCGAAAGAAAGAAGTCGAGGCCGCTGCTATTACTGCGATCGAGCAGTCCCGTCGAGCCTTGTGGAGGACCCAAGTCGGTCAAAATTTCCTCAAGGCTTATCGGGAGCAGTTGATCAAAGACTATCTATGCTCGACGGCGTTCCTCAAAGAAGCTACGGCGTTCCTCAAAGAAGCTGCTGAGATGGGGATGGACTTCTACACCTACAGCATGGAGGAGGTCGAGCGCCAGTTGAATGAGATGGGGTTTACTGGCGAGCTTGACCAGGACAAAACATGGGAAGCAATTCCCACTGCTCCTTCTAGCTTCACCGGTGACCCCAGTCTGCCCGCCGAGCATTCTTGGTGGGCCGCGTCTTTGGAGAGGGCCTTAGCGGGGGATCCCTCTTTGAAGAGCTCGTTCGACCTGCCTAGGCCTGGCGAGGCGCCCCTGGTCCGTCTTGCGGTGGCCGTCCCTCCTCCACGACCTTTGACCACCAATACTCCCTCGTCCATCTCTCATCCGTCTGCTCGGCCCTTGCCCATTCTGCTGCCCTCTCCGTTTCAAGTGCCGCCTTGCACTCGACCAGCCTTGCTTCTTCCTCCTCTACTATTGCTTCTTCGGCCGCAGCGGCTCAGTTGGGGTTTGCTGCTTTTGCTCCATCGACTACCAACATTCAGTCAACTGCCGCTGCCGCGTCCTCAGCCACTGTCGCCCAATCTGCGTCTGTTGCACAAGCTTCCGCTGCCGCCTCCTCATCTTCTACCACTGCTGCTCAGTCGGCTTGTATCGCTCCCCCGAAGTAGTTTTAAGTGCCTTGGCAATGTATCTTCATGTTTTATTTCCATGTGATTTGTAATCGTGTGTTTGTCGTGAAATGAAAAACCTTAATCTGCTTTTCTTCGTGTTGTGTGGTGCTTTCGTTCTCCTTTATTTGTGTTGTTTTTGTATCATGATTCCTTGTGGATGTGTTGATGTGTGCTTCTTACGAATTATACTGATTATCTTTGTTCTCGATGTCTTTCACAATTCACAATTAAACGTCGCCCCGACATATAATAAACCATAGTCATTACTCGCTGCTCTTAACCAAGTACGAGCCATAAAAACGTAACTTAATCAGTTGTCACCTAATTGGTCATCGCCCAATATGTTGAAGTGTGCTCCTTGTGAAGGACTTTGGTCTTGTCATTTGCCCACCCTAAGGGATGTTCCGAAAACATTGTGGTCGTCCAGCCCGGAGGCGTGGGCGTTGTCGACCACATGCCCACCCCTTAGAATGTACCGAAAACAAGCGACCTTCGCCCACCCCTCGATCGGGGTGTTTTATAAACGAAGGACTTTGCTCTCGTCACTTGCCCATCTTAAGGGATGTTCCGAAAACATTATGGTCGTCCAGCCCGGAGGCGTGGACGTTGTCGACCACATGCCCACCTCTTAGAATGTACCGAAAACAAGCGACCTTCGCCCACCC